GCACCTTCAGCTAGCTCATCTATGCTGCTTTCTGGCTTTATTTGAAGTGTTTCAGTGTATGGACATAGACTTCAAGTCCTCTGGATGGCTTTCACCTGTCTTGCAGCAAAGTGTGTTGGGAGTTGAGATGAACAGGAAACCCGCTTTGAATCCATTCTCCTAGTGTTTTAATGTGGCTTAGAAGGGTTTGTGCTTGTATGTCCTCAGCAAATGAAAACGACCCCTCCTGGCCCTCGGCCACAGTAAAGGATGCCGAAACGCGATGTGTGGCAGCTGGTCTCTCTTTCCCTAAGGAAATAGAAGCACAGTTGAATTTCGAAGTGGGTGCCAGGTCCATCAATTGCAGGAAGGCTTGCCGATAAAAATGTGCACTCATCCTGAGCGCTTCATTCCATTTACTGTAATCGCATACGTTTGAAATGCGCATTAATTATGATGAGGTGTTGTGCTTAATCGAGTGAGTCTTCCACACTGAGAAAAGGGTTTAAAATGTATGAATCTGCTGGGGGAAGAGAAGCGTTTTATCTTTAGACGTGACTTTAACATATATACTTAAAATACCTCTCCTGACAGCTGTTCAAAACAGAGCAGTTTTTTTCTGGGTGCTTAAAGCGAGGATTTAAGTCTTCATTTTGGGGGGGGCAAACTTTAATGTCAGCACCTTAAATATTGTGTAAAGGATGTACCGACAATTTGTCAGGAGCTGGAATTTTTTTAGTAGAGGAATGAATGAATGTTTAAAAGATGGGTAGAACATTAGGGGAGATGGATATTTTTTCAGTAAAACAACTTCAGAACTGCTGCTGAGCCTCTTATATTACTGCTGGAAATGAGCTAATGGATGCGTTTGCCTGCAACCCTTGGGACTGCTTTGATAGGATGCTCAGCATGTGACAGTTGTTAATTCAGAAGCTCTGCTGCTTTTCTCTGGTACTTGTGCCTTCAAATATGTTGCTGATACAGATCAAGATTATGAAAGCACAGTCCTCAAAACCAGTCAAAGCCACGGGATTCGTTCTCATAGATTTCAATTAGGAAATGCATTGTGTGGATGTTTTCCGGCTTAAACCGCACTGCAAGACCTGGGCCATTCTGTTGGGTGGTTCTCAGACTGGAAGGAATGTTGAGATCTCGGCTCTCAACTTCTGGGATCACCTTAAGTGCCCAGGGATCATTACATCACCAAGAAATGGTTTGAAGGGTGAGGTCATTCTGTTTCCGTCCAGGTCCAGCTGCTCTTAATTATGCCCTTAAATATGGCTTCTTTATACTTTAATCGTGCTAGTGACCAGCTTGTAGTGACTAGCTGGTTTAAGTCTCTGTGGAATGGTGTCATTCCCCCCCATTTCTCCTTGTGCTCTGCCTCTCCTGCTCCTTCTCCCTCCCTTGATCACTGCAATGACATTCTCAATAGGATCTGTTGCCAGGAGACAGGATTCTCTCCGCATTGTGTTGTGACAAAGGGGTTTAGAGGCATGCCGACCTGGGGCAAGGGACTGACACGGGCTTAATAGTGCCGCCATCCACGGGGCCAGGGCCCCAAGCCCTGTTCCATCACGGGTCCTGTCGGACATATGAGGGCTCCTAGCCATCTAAAGGTCTGCACTCTAGTGCAAAGGAGGATGGACAAAGAGGGGCTCTAGGCATCAAGTCACTCAACCAGCACCCCAGAGGCAGTAATTACCCACTCTCACTACAGGCATTAGAAGAAACCCTGTTCTTCATGGTGTAAATGTGACATGAAAGGTGCCACATGTTTGGCGATTATGGGTCTGCAGTGGTCACTGAGACAAACTGAACCATCACAGTCGCAAAAACGTTTTAATCCTCTGAAATGTCAGCACTGGCTGTCGGCTGAATGATTGTTAACATGGATGGAATAAGTAATGAAACTTATCACGAGAATCTTTTTGTTGATGTTTTTTGGGCTTGTTTTCCATTCCACTGGTGTCTTCAATCTGCCATAATAAATTCCACCTAGTTCTATCTGTCAAACTGCTGCTCTTTTATTTTCTGAATTGATCTGATTCTACTCCTTTTACCTTTACTACCCCCTCAAGGGTAGATAAGTTGTGCAGTCAGGGAAGCCTTTCTGCACACCACTGTTGGTCTTATGCTATTTTTGCACTTGTGCCCTTTCTTAGTTGTAATGAGTCTGGCTGTTCTGTTATGATCTCTCTTATAAACAAGGTGTTTTCAACAAGAAAATTGCCACAAGAAATTTGAAATTAAAACGGATTTAATCTGGATTTCATATCAATGATTTACGCATAGTAGTACATAATGTGGAAGTAGAAAAATCTAGTTTTCAAAACAATTAAGTATTCTTATGTATGGCACTCCTTGCTGTGGAACCTCTAACCTTGAGTTTAACCAACTGCCTTCAGAAGTCACATCGTGAGTTCTACTTGTGAGCAATTAAGGTGTGACATAAACCCAAAATAAATACAGCTGTTTCTGGAAGACCTCATAGTTTGTTAGTGAACATAACTGCAACAACATCATGAAGGCCCAGGAGCTGTCAAAACAAGCATCATGTCCACAGCTGAGGTGGGAGGAAACATCCACCGGACAACTATAACCCAGACACTCCACAAAGACTGGGAGAAGAAAGTCGTTTGTCGTTTGTGAGAGACCCAACAAACATATGCGAAATGGTCTCATCACAGCGGAAAACTAAAGTGTTTGGCCATGTTGTGGGGATGCTTGTCAGCAGGGACTGGGAAACTGGTCTGGGTTGGGGTAAGACCAACAAAGTTATGCACCTACAGAGTGCTGGGTATTTCATATGAATGGTAAAAATCCCAGTTAAATGCAATTTAATTCCAGGTTGTAACCATGCCAAATGTTCTGGGGGGAGGGGGTGAATACTTATGCATGACACTGTAAATTAGGGGCATTGCAGGCACTGGTGAGGATTTAAGTTAGGTGATTTTTGTGTGCATTACTTCTGCTTATCGGAATGAAGCCAATCATCCACACAGAAATGTGTGTGACAGGTCTTTAATGCGAGTGGTGTCAGGGAAGCCAGAGACATCCTGTCCTGTGTGGCTGAAAATAAATCACCTGTTTTGAAGATGGAAATAGTTTGCGGAAATAACCTGCATTGTGGCTATATGTGTTCCCCTACAGACTGTTTTTTTTTTTTTTTTTTTTTTTAAATTTTGTTAACTTGTCCTGTTGTAGGCAGTTGTGTAGTTTTTCTTTGCTTGGTTTGTTGTAAATTCCTGGACACTGTATAGATTTAACCAAACCTAAAGCCATATTGATTTTGTCAGCTTCCTTGTTTAGAGCACCGGTCTCATGAAACCTGAATTTCAGGTCCGACTGGATGACACGTGATGGGGTATTTTTTTACTGACACACATGCCTGAAACAGTGATGTGTTCATTATTGAATGTGCAGCGATTGGTCATGTGTGTGTCACCAGTATAACTCTGTAAACATGGCTTGGTGGGGCAGGTTTTACTAGGCTCAGCCAATGGCTTTTATGTATTTTGGTTCTTTCTTTTTTGTTTTTAATTAAGCTGTTGATTCTCGTAAACCTTGGTTTGTTTGGGTTTAATAAAATGCCCATTTGTCTTTTGATAAGTGGAGTATGTGGGGACTTGTGCGATTTCTGAGGAAATGTGTGTTGCATAACTTCTGGAATAAATTTCCTGGTGTGGAATCAACCTGCTCCGTGCCGTATGCTGCAGGCACCGCGCGTCACGTTTCTGTCACGTGTGTGTGGGCGTGTGTCTACACATACTGAGTGCCTTTTATGGTTCAGCCAGTAGTTGGCAAGTATTGTATACAATTGCTCATAATTGGAATTTTTCTTTTTGTTTTGCAAAAGGTTTCTGTCTTCCCTATAATTAATTATGAACACTTAGCACGATTACAGCATGCTTTGTTACCATCTGTCTTAACCCCAGTGAAGTGGGAGAGCCAATTCGCTCATTTCGCAGGCTTGGTTTAAGCCGCCCACCTGGATTATTGGGATCATTCTTCCATATTTCTAATGGCTGTAGGGTGGGAATGTCTGTCACACATTGCATAGACGCACCTCACAACGAGGCTTTGAAGGTGACTCTAGTGTCTGTCTCCTGTGTGGAGATGGATGGACATTTAAATAGATGCAGGTGGATATGTTTTGACTTCTTCCTTGACACTTTCTGACTGCTGTATAAATCAGCAGACCTGGAGTGACGTGATGCTGGGAGATGAGAATAAGTTCATTTGTCATGCAGCCGCAGCCTGTTTGGCCGATAAAGGTGCTGCAGAAATCGAGTCTGGACTGTGTTAACATCTCAAGCAGTGGCTCCTTTGTTAGCAGCAGAATAGCTGCACATCTTGGGCTATTTGACTGCCTTCAGGGCAGCGTGTTGAAGGCAGGTTCACTGACAGGGTTAACATGCTGTGAAATGAGCAATTGCCCCATGTTGCTGACGCTAGTTAACGCTATAGAAGGTTAGAAAGGTAAGGTTGTGTTGAACCATTTAAAGAGATGTTTCAATACCAGAGGTGTGCTGAGCCCCCCCGCTTTCTGTTTTAGATACTTTAGATACTATTGATTCCTTTTATGCCGCCTCCAACTTGCTCTCTTTAGGTAAGAGCAAGCTGGCCATGAAGGGCAGCCACCCATAACCGCGCCCAGGGAGCTGGGGGTTAAGGGCCTTGCTCAAGGAGCCGCAGATGTGGCGGGGCTGGGCTTGAACCGGCGACCTTCTGCTCTCAGGCACAGAGGCTTTGCTCACTGAGCCACACACTGCCCCCTCTAGAAGAATCCATGCCCTCCAGTGATTTTACTATGAATGTGAATAAAGTAGGCACTTGAATGGTAGTGATCTCTCCATCATTGGACTGCAGCCGCGTTTCCCATTTCATCTTCCCCTTTAAAAACCTCCCGCTGCATTTGCATAGCCGTGATGCTGACAGATGTTGACGTGGGACCAGTGGTGTCCCAGGATCTCATCAGGTAAACGAGACTAACCGCGGTCCTTGTTTTATGCACTCAGGTGTGAGTCATGGCCTGGACATCACCTCGACCGGTTCAGCGACCTTTGAGAAAGCCAGCGGGGAGGCTGTCATGCTGAGCTGCCAGTTTAATCTGGCCCCCGAAGACACAGGACCCCTGGACATCGAGTGGAGCCAGCTAGCCTCTGACAACCAGAAGGAGGATAAAGTGGTTAGTGCGTGCATGCGTGTGGGAGAGAGAGCGAGAGTTCAGTTTCTGTATTCCATTTTTCATATCTTCACGCCCTGCTCGTGTTCGTCACAATTAACAGGTTTTTCCGTATGAATGTTTAATCTTCCTGATGTATAGAAACATTTTTTTGGAGGGGGGGGGGAGCAAAAGGGTGTCAAGTTTTTCCCAAAATAGAAATGGCTCTCGATTAAATGTCATTCTGCCATGAATGGGTTCTCTGTAGCTGCCAGCCACATCTGTGGTCTTTTTGGGAACTGTGCAATGAATGCCAATGTCCTGTGGCACACGCCTCTTATTAAGCAGCTGAGAGGGCGTCTCCCATGGTAACCTGGGCTGCAATCCATACAATGCATAGCTGCGTAAATTACCATCATCTTATTTGCTTAGTGTCACACTTCAGTGATGCCTCCCATACCAGCGTGAACAGAATCCAGCCGACAACAGGGTCCTGCCATTTGATAGCCGCTCTTGTGACTTAAAAAAAAAAATAAAAATTATTTTTTTGCGTGACACCGGAGACTTGTTTTTTTTACCTTCATTTGAGCTTGGCGTGACGATTGTGTGACCTGATGCACCTGTCCTGTTTGTGCTGCCGGTGGTGTCCTACAGGGGGCAGCATACAATCTTCCTGCTGCTATTGAGATAGTGTTGCCCTTACCGCTTGTGTAATCAGGTAGAAGAGGACATTGTTGTTGCTTAGTTTTGAGCCGGTTCCACTGAAATCCAGCCTTAACTGTATAATTCTGTACTCCGGTTTATGCACTAGCTGAATAGAAACGTAAAGTCATTGTCATCCTAAAATCCATATGCAGCTGAAAGTGAATTACGTCAGTGGCATCCTGTAGTATATGGGGTGTTAGAATATGTGCCTTAAAATGCTGCTCTTCCTAGCAGGTGTACAGCTTCCCTTGCTGGGCAATGTGGTCCAGTGGTATGTTGCTGTGCTCTTGCAGCCTGACTGCATCTCTGTGGCATGTATAAATTAGAGAGGCAAATGTGTTTGTGTCAGGAAGTGACAGGCAGGAATGCCGTATTTCCATACAACATAAAGAGTTCATTTGTGTACGTGCTCTGTCCCCCCCACCCCCCTTCTCGGAATTAGTCACGTTAGTGAGTTTGCTTTGCCCTCGCCGAGCGGCAAGTCTTTGTGGCAGATTGCGCCATTCCCATAATATGCTTCTGGGAGGTGATGAACCCACCGGCAGCTTCGGGATTTGTGATGGGGCTGGGGGGGGGGGGCACCTGGCTTTGAGGCCATGCGCTGTGGGGGTGGGGAGGGAGGGGGAGGGAGAGGGAGAGAGTGAGGATCTGCGCAGCCATTTGCAGGCTGGAATGGGGAACAGCTCCTGTAATGAGCTGTTCTGCTACGCTGAGAGCACCACTGTGGCAATCAGCTTTGACGAGTGGGCAGCTGGGGGCTGGGGGTGGGTGTATGTGACTTCCTTCCAAGCTGCAGGTGTTCCCTGAATCAAAACCATTTTCAGATCACCTCACACTTGGTGTGGATGGTGTGTTTTCCTGTTTGTTTGACTGAATTTCAAAGTGTGTGTTACTGGCGTGTTGTTTAAGCACAGTGACTGAATGGTGCATCTGTAAACACAACAAAGCCTGTTTAAAGCCCGATTCATTTTGCATGGGGCCTATATAATGAACATTTCTCTGCTATTCTAGTACAAAGATTCACTTTCAACTCAGTGGTCTCACAGTCCCAGGCACAGTCATTAGCATTTTTATCAGAGCATCCCAGTGTGTCCATGAGGTGCGTTAATAGAACGTGGCAGGGGCTTAAGCTTGAGGGGGGTGTCCCGTCTGCTCCCATGCTCATCCCTACATGCTTGTCCACTTGGCATCTCAAAAACACTGGCCCCCTTTCTTCCCCCATGCCATTCCCCGGCCAGGCCCACAAGCACCCTGTCTGCAAATAGACATTGTGGTTTGTGTTTAATACCTCTTCTCCTGGTCTGGATTGTTCTGTTCCTGCTGGTATTTCCTCCAGGTGACTGCTGCTTACAGGCTGGATAATTCCATAATGTCCTTTTATTTTGCAGCCTGGCACACCGGCTACAGAACTTCAACCCCATAAATAATATGATCAAAGCCCCCCACTTGTTCGTGTTCTGCCCTGTGTTCGTGTGCCCCCTGGTACCTCCTCACTTCCTCCTCATTTTTGCTGTTACAGTAAAGCTGTTTAGGTAGTAGTGATTGTATGCCACTACTCAGTCACACGGTTTTAGGTTGGACTTTTTGAACTCAGTTTTACACTAATCTGACAGTTTTCCCAGCTGGTGCCTTCGGGATCAGTCGCTGCAGTCTGTACCCAGTACTGGAATTCCGATGTCTACCTCTGCCAGGAATCTGTGAATCTGCTCATCTGAGGTCATCTGAATTCCATCGTTGCAGTTTCGCTCGCCTGCTGCTTCCCCCCGGGGGCCTTTGGCACCATGTCTGGTGGAGATTGGTGCTGTTTAACGCCTCCGTGGTTATGGAAGACTGGGTGTGTTTTGTCTGGCATTTGCTTGTCCCCTGTACTAAGGCGTTAGCATCTCCTGCCCATCCCGGTTCCTAACGGTAATGACATTGACGATTCAGAACAAAGTTGGCGGGGCTGTCCTGTCCTGCCCGTGACGTGGCCTCTCCATGCAGCAAGTGTTGATTCAATTCAACAGACGTTCTTTTGTTTGCCTGCACTGGCTCGCTTGGGAAGGCTAATATTAGTTCCACAACCAAGGTCGTTTGGAAGATAAGTTCCAACTCCTACTGAGATGAGGCTGTTAGGACACAATTTGCACTGTAATATGGACGCCACTCTTGGTTTGAATTTGTAATGTAGATGCCAGCCTCCTGATCCCCTGCCTCAGTCATGCAGACTGTGCAGGTCTCCATGCCTCCTCCATTGTCTAACTCCACATCCTCCCTCCGCAGATCATCCTGTACTCAGGGGACCGGGCATATGAGGACTACAATCCTGCCATGAAGGGCCGGGTGCACTTCAACTCGCCCGACCCCAAGAATGGTGATGCCTCTATCAACCTGACCAGCCTGCAGCCCTCAGACACGGGCACATACCAGTGCAAAGTGAAGAAGGCACCAGGCATCCGCAGCAGGAAGATGCAGCTGACTGTCATGGGTGAGGCCCTCTTAGGAACCTGGCACCAGGTCGCCTGCTCTATCTCTACAGAGTCTGTGCACCACATCATCTGCCGTACCCCTACCATCAGTAGACTTGGCCACCTGCTGAAGCGCACGCACTGGCCGCCAATTCATATCAAGTTCACCGACTGATCATGTCGGAGCGCTTAAACATTAACCATACCACTAGCATTGTGCAATGTTCACCTGGACAGGTTTAATAGTTGGGCTATAAATGCATGGATGATGAGTGGTGCCTTGTAAAGAAGTAAACATTTGTAACTGCTTCCTGCTTCCTTCTGATTGCTATTAACCCCATGCAGTGGAATGTACCCCTGGCTGTGCTTAGCAGCATGTGCAGGAAAAAACGATTTTATGTTTGAGTTGACACCCAGTGTACTGCTGAAGATGTTTTATTGTGCATTTACATTTTATTTAGCAGTCATGGTTGCCCACAGCAACGTACAAGTGAGGCAAATAGCACATTAATGTTTTATGTGAGGGAAGACGTATAGAAGATTACATCATCTGGTCAGATCTGCGTACGAGGGCAGTTTGATCACACGACAGCCTACACCTCAGAATCGCTCTGCTGATTCTGGATGGTCAGACACAGGGGACCTTTGGGGGGGGGGGGATTGGCGACAGGATTACTTAGCCACGCGGCCCACTTATTGAACTCCTCACTGTCCATATACTGTCTTGCTCCTGCACACCAGCTGCTGCCTTTGGCTCTCCTGGAGTTGCTATACCGACAGCTGGCAGGAGATGGTGTCCACAGAGTTACCGACAAATGGGTAGCAGCCCTAGTACACAGGAACCTTCCCTGCCTCCTGACGGAGTGACTGGCAATAATCCGCGCCGAGCATATAAACCACTGTCGTCCGCAACGCGGCCCCAAAGCTTGTCTTTACTGCCACCGGTCCACACAGTGATGTCAGCATGTGTGTCTCTGATCCCGTGGCTTCTCATATGACAGACGATACACCGTTAGACTCCACCCCGTTGATTGTCTTACTGGGTTGTGTTTCCTTGACTTCCAGATGGCCTGGGGATGGTTTTAATTTGGGCCGTAGGAGTTCGTTTAAATCTGGTCTATAAGGGTTCGCTAAAGCTCCGTGCTGTCTTGTGTTTTTGCTTAATTTCCGTTTGCGTATCGTGATTCATGAAGCTGTTACACCATAAGCTCTGGTGCTTATTAATGCATTATTAGTGTTCCTTCTGGACGACGCGGTGACCATCTCAGATTTCAAATTGTCTCTGAAGTGAGTGCTTCGGGCCCATGTGCTACATTGTTGGGTGACTGGCGTTTCCCCCCCTGCAGTCCGGCCCTCCAAACCTGCATGTTCCACCGTTGGACCTTCCCACTTGGGCAAAGATGTGCAGCTAAAGTGTGTGTCGTCGGAGGGCACCAACCCGGTGCAGTACACCTGGGAGAAGACGAGCGACACCAAGGTGCTGCCTGCCACCGCCGTGATGGGTGAGCTCTCGCCGTCCTGCCCCTCACTCACCCCACTTCTGCTCCCCCATCTCCTGGCTCCCCCATGTTATTCGCCCGTTTCCGCACCTTCGCTGCATGGATACTTCCTTGTCTCACTCTGAAACTTCTAAATTCCATTCTTTGAAAGGTTTCCCAAATGTTGAAGACTTTGCTCTCAATGTTCCCTTCCCTCCTTTTGATGTTATGCCTCAGACTCCACCGGAAGCACCCTAAACGTCCGTAACGCCTCAAACAGCGCTTCCGGCACGTACCGCTGCACAGCCAGGAACCGCGTGGGGATGGACGACTGCACCTTGAATCTGCGCGTCGTGCCCGGTGAGTAACCACCCCCCCCATGCTTATGGTGCCACTTGTTTTCAGTGAAATTGTCAGTCTGTGATTGGCTGTTCCGTGTGCCCCACAGCCCCCAACACAGCCGGCATCATCGCCGGCGCCGTCATTGGCGTCCTCCTGGCCCTCATCCTCATCGCTATTATCCTGTTCTGCTGCTACCGGGCCCGCAACAGGAAGAAGTACGAGAAGGAGATGTCCTACGAGATCAAGTGGGTACCTGGGCCAGTCATGGGGTCGAACCGCAAACTCACTCAGATGATATTCTAAGGTGATACTAGTGCAGACTGGCAGGGTCCAAACGGGTTCAGAACTTTCTCACACTGCACTCCATAACTCAGCTGCACTCAAGTTTTTGGAACCATACACTGGGTTTCTAGAACAGGGCATGCAGAAGCCGTCAGACTCTTCTGGGATCTTTGTCTAGTCAATGGCTTATTTATAAGGAATAAACCAATGCGAGTTATAATGAATAAGTAGCACAAAGTAAATGTCAGCTTTTTTATGAATTATAATTAATCACAGTCTGGTCATGGTAAATCCCCAAATTATTATTTGAGGTCATTATTATAAAACATTTCTGACTGCTCACCATCAGTCACGAACCACGTGATGTGAGTGGTCCTGTTGGGGTTTAAGGTCCCCTACGGCCTGCGTCTGACCCGGAACAGCTCTGCTCAACTGTTTCTGGTACAGACCAAGTATTAGGAAGTGCGGGAGTGTCAGCAGTCACCAGCATGCAGCTGCCCATTATAATGCTTCCCCCCCCCCGCAGGGAGGACGTACCCCCCCCGAAAAGCCGAGTGTCGACGGCACGGAGCTTCACCAGCGTGGGGAGCCAGCGCTCCTCCGTGGGCTCCATGTCGCCCTCCAACCTGCACGAGTACGCCGCCAAATCCATGTACAACGCGCTTCCCTCAGAGGAGTATGACCGGCCTCCCAGCCAGGCCCCAGTGGCCCCCCTGTCCCGCACGGCCGGCCCCAACCTGAGCCGCATGGGCGCCGTGCCTGTCATGGTGCCGGCGCAGAACAGGGACGGCTCAATCGTGTAATGGGCCGAGGGCCGGGGCTCCCCAACAGCCGCCACGGTCGAGTCGCAGTCCGACGCCAAATGAGAACCACCGTGCGACTGTAGCAAACAGCAACTCGAGAATTGGACCGGAGGGCAAGAGGGCAGCCGGCCCCTCGTGTCTCTGTACATATGGGAACGCATGAATACTTCATCTGCCTGCTCAGTAGAGCTCATGAAATATTACATCCAGCAATTTATATCCATGTTTTGCATATTCAAGGACTTTTCCACGGTGGAAATGGGATGTTATGTATGAGTAATTTTCTACCATCTTTCTCTAGATTGCTCAGAGGTACCCCTCCCTTAAAAGATGTTACCACATCTGTGGTTTTAAAAAGCTGTTCATATATGTGATTTCTACAGGGTATTAAGGGAAAACAGATTGGTTTTTACAATGTTTTAAAATTTAAACAGCTTTAAACGCACCCTCACGTTAACAGCGAAAGATTCCATTTAGTTTGTACCTGAGTAAATTTATACAACATTTACTTTTGAGTTAACTGGAGTGGCCTCTATGCTCAGGACTGCATTTTAAGGGATGGTCAGTCTTCCAGAATTTTCTGATCACACGGTCATCACTCTGTTCTGTGCTATGAACTGTTTAAAGGTGGGTGGTGGTCAGGTCTGAGTAAATCCATGGAGCATCCCACACCGCCTGTCTGACCTCTGTACAACCCCCCCCCCCCCCCCCAACTTTGTCTGCATTCCAGGGCTCAATCCTCTGATCCTAGGACAGTCCCAGTAATTAATCTGCTGCTTTGCGTAGAGCACAGTGGAAGGGGTGTCATCGCATTGTCCCGCAGGCGCAGTTTTAACCCTCTTAATAGAATGTTTGGTTTCCACTTTCCTCGGGTAATATGAAGTGCTTAGTAATTTGCACAGCTTCAAATTATTATTATTTTTTTTAAATGAAGCGTTTTTCAATCCACAGAAAATTATCTGACCGCCTCTGTAAATATCTTCAAATTAAGATGTGGGGTTTTAAGTGATTTTTCAGCTGGGAAAGTGATTCGGTCTGTGTGCTCCCCGCCCTCTGGCACTGTCCTGTTGGTGGCTCCATCCTGTGAGTAGACGCAGGATGGGTCTCTGCCCCATCGGTGAGCCGGCGCTAGGAGCTAGGCGCTGTCCCAGGTCACATGACCTTGTCATGGGACACACATTCTTTTCTAGTACTCCTGGCATGTGACCCCTGAACCCTTGAGACCTCGGATGCTCGGTTGTTGAATTTTAGCCCATTTGTTGGACACTTCATGTATATTTTTCACTTTGTGATTTGTATTGTACCTGGTATCTGCCTGTTGCCAATATTAGATCGATACTCCTTGGTATTTATCATCACGCAGATGGTTTGTTTAAATGAGCTCCACAGCTGATCACCAGCCCCAGTGTGTGTGTCTGTCGGCCACGACACTGCATGTAGCAGATGAGACTTTTAAATAAAACCATTAAGCCCCCCAACATTTTAAAGGACAGAGTGGGCTAAGAGGCAGTGTGGAGAGTCACGCTGAAGATCATCCAAGCTTAAAGTGGTGTGGGCCCCTCCCCCGCTTCCTGTCACTGCAGGCATGTCTTCAGGCTGCCCGGGGGGTCGCCATGCACAGAGCCGTCTACCCACCTGCCTGGCATGAGGCGGTGAAAGCCCCATGTGTTTCTTCAGAGTTACACCTTGTGGTTTCTTCAAGGTTTTGCATCTACCTGCTTAGTACTTGATTACACCAGCTAGCTCACAGAAGCACAGATGTTTCCAGACGCTTGTACCATGTGTTAAGGGCACCTTGGCTGATAGGCCATTTGCTGCAGTCTTTCTGGAGGAGGGGCAGGTTCTCACTGCTTAAGCCCTAGTTTGTCAAGATTGAGATGGAGACCCTTGATTGAGATGGAGACCCTTGATTGAAACCACTTTGGTGAGTAAATCTCCCACATTTGCCTGATTTGAAACCAAATGCCCCTTTTGTTTTAGCTTCTAGAATGAGCCACAAATGAGTTTCTAGTACAATCAACAGAGGACCATAAAATCATTTGTGGGGATGTGTAGCCTCACTTAGGAACAATATACTAACGATCTTTATAGTTTAAAATGTATACTAATATTATATAAAGGCTCTCTATTCTTCTGGTGTGTTTGCACATTGTCAAACCTTTTTTGCTTGTACTTCTGTGCTGTATTTTTAAATAAAACCGATAAGATGTATATTTTGTTGTCATCCCTGCATTTCATTGCACCCTCTGCGGATACCTCTGTTTGAACACACCTCCCCCCGTCCGTATCCGCTTTTGTCAGGTACCGTCTGTCGCGTGCCTCTGCAGAGGCTTCCTCTGTTACCGTTTCAGAAAGCAGAATCTACTCCGATGATGCGGGCTGTGGAGCAGCCAGCTGCACGTCCAGTATCCTGGTTGCGCTGATCGAAGAGCTAATCAGTGATTATTTATTTAAAGGGTGTCTCAGTTAATGTTTCTGCAGACACCTGATCAATGGGCTTTAATTGGTGAGAATCCAGCCAGTGGTCGGTCAGCATAAAGCACCGAGTGGCGCTTGGAGACCCACGGCTCCCTTCTGGTGTCGATATTTCATTAGGCGTGTCTGTGAGAGCGGCCATTTGTAACTGATCACACACATAATTACCCGTCAGTAATGGGTGCCCTGTGCCTGGCCATCACCAACCGTTAATTAAACGTTTTCAGGGTGGTTAATGTGCGGCGGAAAACCGTGTCGTTAAAAGCGCATTACCGCGTCCTCAGAGTGCCGGGTCTCCGAGTGTCGCCTGGCCTTGCTCTGCCGTTTTGGTGAGATGCTGCTTTTGGGAGAAACACTCTGGAAATTTACATGGCTGCATATAAATCTAACGTGCGTGTATTCCTCTTCGACAGAGGCGAATTTACCTGGAGCACATCTGGAAAAACATGTTCTTCAATAGTCTGGTTATCCTGCCCCCCACTTAAATAATTCAATCATGTTTCCCATTTTCATGTGGTTAATTGTTTGCTCCCGAACTCAAGCCTACCTACTTATTGGCTCATGCTGTGTCTCCTTGGCAACCTTATCTGCTTGTACATAGTCTGAAGCTGGCTTTCTGCTTGGGGGGGTGGTTTCAGCATCTATTTTCTCCTTGGTAACAAAAGGACCCGCTCTACACCAGTCATTTTAATCAATGCACTTCCTCAATGGCAAAGGCAAGTGTCCTTTCATTGCAGCCTTTGTGAGTCTGAACCTCATGTACTTTGAGTCTAGGGCCTGCTGGATCTGTCTCTCTCTCTGTCTCTCTGTGTGTGTCTCTCTCTCTCTCTCTCTCTCTCTCTCTCTCTCTCTCTCACTTACTCACTCAATCCAGACATTCTTTCCATTGTGAATTCTTTTGCATGTTCTTAGAACTGCTCATCAAGACAATCACCTTGGTTACCTTGGTCACATGTCAAAACCTCAACTTGTGTGTCATGCTGGACTCAGGCAGGAGCCTCCACGTCAAACTCAAACCCACATGGCATTTCGCCCAAGTGAGCAACTCATTGTCAGTGTAAACACCACCGGCATGTGTAATCTCAGGCTGTCCTGTATCGGAAGGTACAGTAATGATCCCCTGCCCTGTGTGTACTCATATGAAATAATGCAGTAGACCTTCCATTTTTCTTTCACAGGAAAGGAGATCAAAACATTTATCTCATATAATTATACAGCCAGAACTGTAATTTAGACGTAACAGTCAAGCCGGGCTTTTTAATTGGGAGGGATAAATATTGCAGTTTAGATGCCTGTGATGAGCCTCACCTGTCACAGAACAATTGGGGGGGGTTGTCTTTTAGGGAGTTTCTGGGATCCTGCGGTGGAGCTGTTTGGGAGGCTAGCCTGGGCCGCATCTCATAGCAGGAAGGTCCTTGAGAAGGTTAAGGCATCTACTGGGGAGAGTTAAGTATCCTCTGTGGTCTATGGCCACCAGGGTGGTGCTCCTGCCTGTCTGTGGCCCCCCTCCATAGGCTTGTATTCCTCACTGCTCTGCTGTTCCCTGTTTCCAGCTGATAACGGAGGTGCGTACCTAGTCGATATTATTTAGAAATTTAATGCAGTTCAGTTCTGCCTCTTGCCGTAATGAGAACCATCTGTGTGATGTTACCCTGTCGATGGCGCCATGGTTCTTCAGACATCAGCCTGGATCTCATTGGGGGGGGGGGGTGTCTCAGGTTGGATTCGTTAGTGAGTACTCTGCTCCCCCTCCTCCATCACCCTTCACAGATGTCTGAGGCTCGTGGCTTTGTGCTATTTCCAACCAGCCAATTAGAGTGCCCTTCTCACTACTATGCACTGTCCGGATGAAGTGCCCTCCCGCCGCCACCTTGGTGCTCATGTCCGCTCCGATTGGCCGTGAAGGAGCCTGCGACTTCCCTGTTCCTTCAGTCAAGGAACACATACACTCGTCTTCAATCGTCAGCACCACTCTAGTCAAAGGGCAGTCATAGGATTGACGTAAAACAGCCAATTGGCTGACAGGGGTAGACTGGCGTCCACTGTGTGGAAGGCAAGGTACCACAAGGGGGCAGTGGCTCCTTTGCTGATGGCAGACGTCATGCAATCATTCATCACAGCTCATGCCTTTGTATCCCATTCGATAAACGACGGACCTCAGTTTTGTTTCACATCAATAAGGGCTGCACCTATCATGGAGGATTATAAAAAGTCAGAATGGTGCAGCACCCTGTTTAACTGCAGATTTACGTTCTACAGGGTCTTGTCCTGGGCAACACTGGTTTACCTCATAGTGTGCCCAATTCTCCCTGTGCCATCCACTTCCACCCAGCTTCTCTAGTACAAGGTTCAAGGTCCTTTATTCTCCTGTGCATAAAATAATGACGCAACAACAGAACCTTATATTGCAGTATCCTTCTTCATTCCCTCAACATACAATCCACAAGCTGTTATTTTCATTGTGTGAGCGAGAGGTGCGAACAAAGATACTCACTTTCCAGTAAAACCGCAGGCTGCTTAAAAAAAGCACCGCCCAAGCAACTAAATGTAAACTGTATAGTCGGCACTGACATTCTGCAGCAGATGATGGGGAATCCTAGTCTTGGCATCTTTGTTTTTCATTCTTAATCTCTTCTGCTGTAAACCCAAGATCAGAGATGGACAGGCTTATTAATCTGCCTCAGAACCTGCTTCCGCCTCTGTGCTTGGTTGGTGATTTGCTGCCGAAGGCAGCCAACAGGGATACAGATTCGGTTTACTGTAGTTAATTGGTTTTCCTAAGATGATGGACTGAGCTGCATTTTTCCTCAGAAATGTGTGCATGTGCTGAGCAGTCACACTGTGTTCAGACGGAGCAGGGCTGGATTTCTGGGCAGTTGTGGGAGGCCAGTTAGATGCATGGGGCCCATGGAACATTAAAAACCACTTGTGTTTTGTGTTGCAAATTACGTAGGGGAACAATGGTATTACCATGGAAACAATAATTGAGAGCAGGATCCCCACCCATTGAGTGTGTCTGGAGGAGTGTAGAGGTATGCTGATGCCGCCCACTCACGCTGGGACCCTGTTCTGACCATGGTGTGCTGTGTGCGCTGTGCTGCGGCACGTCAAGGACACTCAAGCCAAGGCTGAATGTGATCAGGCGCAGTGTGTCCCATGTAGCTTTTGGACTTGACTGTGGCACTCGACAGCTGAATAGTGTGTTACCCACAATCTCTGCTGCCATCTAACAACCTTGCCGTGATGATTAAGGGTGTTCCTGCTTGGAGGATATTCGGTTTCTAAAGTATTGTGAAATGTTTCAGGGTCAAATATTATTAAAACAGCTGACTTTCTATCAGAAACACTTTGTGTCCATTTTGATATCTCTATTTTTAAATTCATCTGTCAAAAATGTTGAATTTTGATCAACAGACTAGGAGACACAGTAACTTCTATGTATCTGTATAGACATTGGATTTAAACTTGAGAAGACATCAGTTAAATTGTGTGTGGAGAATTCTTGAATGGAAGGTATATACACAGATATTCATGTCAGAATAAGCCCATTAGGGGGCAGCATGTGGCTCAGTGGGCCAAGCCTATGTGTCTGTAATCGCAAGGTCGCCAGTTCAAATCCAGCCTCAGCACATCTGCAGGTCCTTGAGCAAGTCCCTAAACCCCCAGCTCCCTGGGCACTGCTACGGGTGGCTTACAAAGAGTAAGTTGAGGGAGGCATAAAGACAATTTGCCCACGGGGATTAATAAACTATCGATCATTATTATTATCATTATTTCCAGAGAACTGAAACAGCGAAGACGGCTGTCAAACAGGATGATGAAACCGACTCGACCACATTGCACACATTAGTATTCAGCTTTGAAAAAATGCCTCAGCTTTCCGCGTTGTTGTAGTTTTGAAACACAAACGCTTTGTCGCCATCTAGTGTTACACTGTAAAATATACACATGCGGACATGGATCGATCTATGTAGCCTATATACACACATTACTGCAGTCAAAAACCAGGTGTTTGTTTCATTGTACAACCCCTATACATACATAGTATTTAAATTTCTCGTTGTCTGTGCTTTGAAAAAAGAATCAAAGCTATATACATTGTATTTTAGAAACAATTTCCATGCTTGACTGGCACACATGATTTCTTAAAGTTTGTATATGTGGCTTATATTCATTGTGGTTACATTAACTTTAAGATTAAGATTTCACACGCTTCATTTCAAGCTAGAGATGTGTAGTACTTTGGCTCACATGAAATGTCACATAAGTGTCAAAATCTTTTTAGTCATATTGTTTAACCGCAGGTAGTCTGAATTTTGTTCCAACTGCTGTTTTCGCAAATTGGTTTTATTCAGCACTTCGTTAGGTTCGTCCGTTTTGTTGTCTTCCATGAATATTGCTCTTGTTGCAATCCATCATTTAATGAGTTTACTGAATAAGGATCTAGGTCTTGCATGAACACGCTGAAGATCTCTGAAGAATAGAATTGTGAAGACACCCTTGCTTTAGTTAATTTATGCACGTTAGGAACTCGAATAAATTGGTATTAAATATGACTGGCCATTCAGTTATGCAAAGGGAACTGTTATAACTCAAGCAGTTAGATAATAACACGTTATACGTATTATTAACACTAATTGCTATTCATCCATTTTAGGAACACGGGGGTCTAGAGCCTCCCACAGAGGCTACAGGAGGAAGGCAGGGAACTAGCCCAGGATGGAGCACCAACCCAT